TTGAATGGTTTTTAGATTAAGATATCATCCACGTGGAAGTATCTAACAAACATTCACTCGATTTAAATTAAATATTCACTATCAATTTTTTTTGGATTAATTATAGATTATTCTCTATAGTTATACCTTATTATCTTGGTATCTAGATCTAATAAATTTATATTGAAATCCCTATAATTATGAAAGTGAAACATCTAGGTCTATTTATCCTAACACTATCAATTTTACGAACAAAAATATGAAAATAATAGGTAAAAATGTAAAACTTAAAAAAAAGTTCTTTCTTTATTATTCTCATACCATTGTTGTGATATTTAAGAAGATACAAAAAAATATAAACTAAAATCTTGATTCAAATATAGTAAAACTATTGGCATAATCATGTATCTCATGGACAAGTATAGGATTGGTAACAATTAGTTTAAATTTAACTTACATTACTATTCAAAACTTGAACTTTCCAACCATAAGTCTGTTGCAAAATTATGAATAATGGTATGATCATTCGAAGGAATCATTAATTTTAGATATAAGATAAATATACTAATGTGGTGAACGAGAATGGATCTTCTACAATGTCAAATTTCACTTGTTTGGCTTGGAAGATTAAGCCAATACTATTATTTTTCTGGTCTTTTAATTAAATATGACCGAAGCCCAATAGTGCACGAGACAAACATAAATTCATATTGAATGACTAGAAGAGTATTATTCTTAAAAGTTCTTTAATCAAAATAAAATAGCAAAATACTCCCGGGAGTCTTCTGATCAGCATGCAGTGGAAAATGATCAGCCCTATTTGTTTTGTCCAGTCTGAATTCAAAGGTAAGAAGCAATCATGTTTGAACCGATAAGATTTCTACAATGAAAAGGAAGGAAAGAAGAAGAAGAAAAGAGAGACTGCTTGATGTTAATACACGTAGAAGATAGGATCATTCGTATACAGATTTAATGCAAGTCATTCGTATTATAAACGAAGATAAGCATGGAGTGATAATATATCTACTGACTTTGGATTGAGCTGAACTTGGAAGTCATATTTTAAGTAATCCAACAGACTTAACTAGTATTCACATTTTCCAAACCAATAAATGGTCATTATGAATCCAATGCTTAAACATTGACTTGGAAGCCGTACCGGTACTGCTTCTTTCAGTATTGTTGTTACAAGTTCCATTCATACATAAATATCGGACAACTTCATGCACCTTTTGGTTCTATAAATATCCCCCCATCCATACTCTCTCTCCCTATCG